ATCTGAAACAGAAGTTCCAAGCTATGAAGATCTTACGCAGATATTGATGACCAACACCTCCAGATCAGAAGTCAGACATGATTCAATCTATGACCCTCCTGATGAAGAAGCTAACTCTGTACCCACAAGGACAAATGTGTCCTCAAAAACAAATGGTGGACCCTGGTTCACTATTGATGATATTCCTCCCAGCCAATGGAGAGCGAGATTAATCGAATTTGGTGCATGGTTAGATACCAAATTAGTCAACAATTCTGACTCTTATAAAGTTATTGAAGAATTCTGTTGCAGAATGACAGGAACTTTAAAGGGATGGTATCATAATTTGGGAGTTATCCGACAGAACCAGTTCCATGAACTGGGCCAAACTTCAGCAGTACTTGGGGCTTTACATGAAGAATTCATAGGTGATGGATCGATCATAGATAAAAAACTCAGACAAGAGTTTTTCGAGATGAGATGCTGCTCAATCAAAATCAAAGATTTGGAAAAACACTACCAGAGGATGAGCAAAAGATTCTACCATCTTAATGGACTCAATGATCCAAGCTTGAAGAACACCTATGTTGCATCTCTTCCTGCTGAGATACAACCAGAACTAAATAGGATGGTCATGTCCATTCAAAAGGACTTTACTGTTCTAACGATGAGACAAATCCACCAGATGACTTTAGAAGCTGTCGATAAACTGTGCAGACAACATGAGTTTTTCTCTGACATCATGACCCAGAAAAGCAAGTTTAACAAAGCCTGTCAGAAACCCTATCTTGAGATAAAATGCAAGAAGTCATGTTCAGGCAATTGCAAGGTGAAGAAGAAGCGAGAAAAGCCACTTTTCCGCAAAAAGAAGAAAAAGAATTTTAAATTCTTTAAGAAAAAGAAGTTCAGAGGAAAAGCACAAGATCAACGGTGCTTTATTTGCAAGAAAAAATGACACTTTTCCAAGAACTATCCCCACAAAGCTGATAGAGCCATCAAACTCATCTCCACCCTCCAACTTGATGATAAAGACGATATAGAATCTCTGTATTCTGAACAGAGTTCTGCAGATGAAGAAACTGTCTTCGCCCTTAACATCTCCTCTGATGAATCTAAATTAGAATATTCCGAGGAATCTGAGACTGATACTGTTCCAGTATTCTCCTTCCAAGAAACTCACCTTATCAATGTTTCTCCTCCTCAACCTTGCTTAGAAGTTCAAATCCTTACATCTAAATATGAGAAAGCTATCCAAGCCATAGCCTACATTGATACAGGAGCCCAGAAATCCATGATGGATCCTAATATTCTTCCCAAGGAATTTTGGAAGAAAGAAGCCTCCTATTTCGTAGTAGTTGACGGAAAAGTTTTTAAGACTGAACTAATTACCAAAGCTCCAATTGGAATCAAATTCTTCCCAGAATGTACTGTTTGGAGTAAAGTGATTGGAAGCAAGCTTCCCAATAAAGATATCCTAATAGGCATGGACATCTTCTCCATGACAAGTAAATTTCAAATACTTCCTACAGGGATCAAGTTCAAGAGAGAATTCAAACTTTTTACAGATATACCTAGACTCTTCTCTCTCTCTGAAGCTCCTCCAGACCTTGAGGAAAATAAGACAAAAGTTAGCCTCTCTGTGCGCTAACAGTCATGAAGAATTTTCTCATCCCAAGCCACTATGGAAGAATTCTGAATTCTTTGTACAGTTACCCTTTAAGCTCAATGAAGATGTCAATCCAACCAAGGCCACTCACCCAGGAATGTCTCCATCAGACTTACAACTAGCAAGACAAGAGTGCCAGGAACTATTGAAACAAGGCCTGATCGAACCAACCCAATCCAATTGGGCCTGTCAAGCCTTCTATGTGGAAAAGAGGTCCGAAAAAATCAGAGGGAAAAAGAGGTTAGTAATTGACTACAAGCCTCTTAACTATTTTCTTAAGGATGATAAATTTCCAATACCCAAAGCTTCATCCTTACCCACTCTGATAAAAGAAGCCCACATCTTTTCTAAGTTTGACCTCAAGTCTGGATTTTGGCAACTAGGCATTGACCCAACCGATAGATACAAAACTGCTTTTTGTATACTCAATGCCCAATACCAATGGAAAGTAATGCCCTTTGGGCTTAAGACAGCCCCGTCACTGTTCCAAAAGGCCATGACAAAAATCTTTGAGCCCATATTAGACAGAGCAATTATATACATTGACGATATCCTATTGTTCTCACAAGACATGGACTCACATAAACAGTTATTGGATCAATTTATTGAAATAGCCCATCAACATGGGATTATGCTCTCAGAGAAAAAGATCCACTTGGCCCAAGAAGAGATTGATTTTTTGGGAATGCACTTCTGTCATGGATCTTATCAACCACAACCTCACATTGCAGAGGAACTCCTCAACTTTCCAGATGAAAATCTGACTGTCAAGCAGATCCAACAATTTCTCGGAATAGTCAATTACATTAGGGAATTCATCCCTAATGCTGCAAAGAATATGAGTTCCTTATCCAAGCTCTTAAAGAAGAATCCACCTCCATGGGGATCAGAACATACCAGAGCCATTAAAGAACTAAAGAAAATAGCTCAAGCTCCTCCAGCTCTGAAGATTCCAGGAAACGGGAAAAGAATACTACAGACTGATATCAGTGATGAATACTGGGGAGTAGTACTCATCGAAGAAGAACATGGAAGAAGATACTATTGTGGACATGCAAGCGGACAATTCAAGGATGTCGAGAAACACTACCACACCACCTTCAAGGAAGCCTTAGCTGTCAAGAATGGGATAAAGAAGTTTGACTTCCATCTTAGAGGATATCACTTCGAGGTACAAATTGACAACTCTTCATTTCCAAAGATTTTAGAGTTCAAGAACAAGATGCCTCCTAATCCTCAGATTCTCCGGCTAATGGATTGGTTTTCCAGGTATGATTTTACTGTTAAGCACATTAAAGGAAATTTAAACACAGTCCCTGATTTTTTATCCAGGCCCAAAAAGACTGTCCAATTAATAGTTGACACTCATAGTATTCCCCTTATCTTTATGGTCAAACCTCTCTCTGACAAAGTCAAGACCATTAAATTCTATCACCTGGTTTAAACCCAACCACACCAGCCGATATTCTCCACTATGCTAGAACAAGATATTTTTACTTTTTACATAAAACCTTTAGATACAAAGTAATTTCAGCCTCACTGTTCAACCCTGATATTCCCTTTGGGGGAATTTTTGAACTATTCTGTGAACTTGGTTGGGATCTTTGTGAACCTACCCTTTGGACCATTTGGTGTGATACAGTTCAATACTCCATTCCCATCGCACTAAAGACACAAACAGCTTACAGAATTTTAACACATCCATACAAAGACAAGTTCCTTTTTTGGACACTACTCGAGTGGTTTTCTCCAATACCCTGGTGGAGGCAACAACTTAAGGAGATCATAGATCGTCAAAATAAAAAAGGAGTTACTGAAGACTCTCTAAAGAATCTAACATCTATCTTCATCGTCCACCGTCCATACTTCTTGAATCCAGCTGGACACCTATGGTCAAGAAATGAAGCTTATCTTTGGGCCAGCTTTGATACCTACCCACTTGATAACAGTTACCATGCACAACTGGCGCATCACCTTTGTGAAGTAAATCACTACCAGCCAAAGCCAGTAGACTCCAACATCGCCAGCTCATCCCAAAGACCACCTGACACATATCATATGGATCAGATCACTCCAGAAGAAGACAAATCTCAAGAGATAAGATTTTTCAAATCATGAGCAGAGATGAATGTCCCTGATGAAGCCTTCCAGAAGGTCGAAGATCTAGTAGACAACATCAACGAATATCTGATGGAAGAAATGATAATGCACAAGAAGATGTATCCCTACTGGGACCCACTACATGGAAGTATGACAAGGAGTGAAGCCCAACAGATGAACTACTCTGGCTCCACCCGATCTGACTAAAGTAAAGGCTTTAGTTAATGGCTGTCATAATGACATGCTACTAAAGCAAGATTCCCTTATCTTTACACGTGTCTATTGCATTTACCGCAAACGTGTTAATGAAGATAAGTCTGGATCAACTTTACTTTCCCATGAAGAGATAAGACATCATTTTCGAATCTTATCTTATCTTTTCTACTTTGTCCATATATATGACTTAAATAAAGTGTGAATCATGCTATTCTGTTTTTTGTAAGGCCATTATGATGTGTGGGCCATAGTTTGAATACTTTACTTTGGATTCCACCTTGTAACATAAGTTTCGGGTCCAAATTTCATTCTAGTTTAGCGAAGCTTTTAATTCTGTGTGTTTGCTTTCGCTATAAATAGGGGAGGCTTGTAATGTTGTAAGGGGAATCAATCGAGTGAAATCAATACAAGTTCCCTTTCTAAAATGTTCTCTCTCTAAGTTTTTTCTTCTCTAAAAGCTTAAAACTTATAGTTCTTAATGTCGTTCCCCACTTAGATGTAAGTATGCTCTACACTTGCCTCGAAAAGAGGATCATGTGTATCAGAAAGTTTCCAATCTATGAAACCATTTTATTTCAGAGTGCTCTTCTTATAAGAAATATGAACTTGAGTGGGCTTTTAGTCAAAGGATGGCGTCGTTATGCCCGAGAATGTTCATATCGTTTGGGTAAGAAGGGTTTGTGCCGAAATGATATCAGAGCCAAACCATTTTTTAGAAGGGAATATGATAATAGGAATTATGAGTGGAAAAAGTACTTTAGTTTAAAAAAATGAAAATAAAAAAATCCCATTTTGCTAAAAGAAATTGTTGTACGTGACACTTTTTCCTCGTCATCTTTGTCGTTTTCTCTTTTCCTACGTATGTGCACACGTAATATGGTTGTTTTTTCTTAGCAACCTCGTCGGAATATTTCAAAACCAACCGCATATTTTTCATTTGTAAAAGTTTTTCTGTAACACTATAAAAGAACAACCTTTCCTCCTGTAACCAACAGCATCTACTACACACTTCTTGCAATTCACAACTTCAATTAGATCGATGGGCGAGGTGGTTCTGTTGGATACATGGGGCAGCATGTTTGGGATGAGGGCTTGGATTGCACTGGAAGAAAAGGGTGTGAAGTACGAACGCAAGGAAGAGAATCTCAGCAACAAGAGCCCTTTACTTCTGCAGATGAACCCTATTCACAAGAAGATTCCAGTTCTCATCCATAATGGAAAACCCATTTGTGAATCTGCAATAATAGTGCAGTACATTGATGAGGTCTGGAGTCACAACCCTCAACTCATGCCCTCTGACCCTTATGAGAGGGCTCAAGCCAGATTCTGGGTGGATTACATTGACCAAAAGGTATTGCTTTAATGTTCAGAATTCGAAAATTGATATAATGTGTTTGCAAAATAGTTTTCAAATTAGATCATGTACTTATTTGCTGTAATACCTGCACAAGAACTCCCAGAACACAACACTCTCATTAATGATGAAAATTTAGATGTATGTAATACAGAAGATAGATTGATTAGTTAAAATAATTAGTTTGAAATAAAACCAACGTTTTTGTGTATACCAACGTTAAGATACACCATAGGAGAGAAAGACCATGACAGAGAAAGACACGAGAAAAGTGTAATAATATGACAAGTGATATGATATAATACTATTGTTGTTACAGATATTATAGTTACAAGATATTGAATGCAGGTATATCCAACTTGGAATAAAATGTGGCTTTCAAAAGGAGAAGAGCATGAAGCAGGAAAGAAAGAATTGATTTCTATCTTTAAGCAGCTAGAAGAGACATTGGGTGACAAACCTTTTTATGGACATGACATGTTTGGGTTTGTTGATATTGCTCTGATCCCTTTCTACTGTTGGTTTTATACTTTTGAGACATATGGTAACTTTGAAATGGAAGCACAATGTCCTAAACTTGTGGCTTGGGCCAAGAGATGCATGCAGAGAGAGACTGTGTCCACAATTCTTCCTAATGAGAAGGAATTATATAATGCAGTAGTGGAAATGGAGAAAGAACTGGAATCTAAATAGAGATATAAAGAGTGGTATTATTGAGTGGCTTTATTTTGAGTTTGTTTAGGTTGGGTTATCTAATGTCTTTGCATAAGATTTGTTAAGCTGAGGGATGTATGAATGTTGTTATATTGTTGGTTTTTAGTTTTGCAGTCAATAAAATCTCATATCATTATGGTTTCAATCTTCTCATTCGTTTTCAGTTAGTTCAAGTGAATCTATGTTAGTTAATCGATTTGACGTTTGAGATTAGTTCATCAATTTACTGTAAAATGTGATTAAAGATCAGAAACATCCTCATATTATTCAGTGATTGACTATTTGGTGGGTATGACAGAGTTGACTTAGACAAAGAGTTATTTGCAAGTTATCAAAATTGATTATAAAAAATCAAATTGTTTTTAAACAGAAGTAATAATAATAATAATAATAATAATAATAATAATAATAATAATAATAATAATAATAATAATTTTAAATTTTATTTTTAAATTAAATCCCTTAATATTATGGTATAATGTTTCTATATTTTTAAGTTTATATATATATATATATATATATATATATATATATATATATATATATATATATATATATATATATATATATATATATATATAGATTGATGGATAGAAAGATAGATTTATATATAAATATTTATATTATTATTACTTTTAATTATTTATTAATGAGCCCAAATTTTAATTATTATTTATAAATTAATTTTTAATAATTTAATAACTAATAATTAAAATACCTATTTTTATTTAGAATTACTTTAAAATATTATGATAATTGTAATAATAATTTTACTATTATAATAAAATTTATAATCTAAATATATAATATATTAATAACTTAGAGTTAAAATATTTATATTAAAAGAATTTAGTAATATATATAATATATATTTTATTTTTTTTAATAATATATAAAATATTAGTTTGATTTTCTCTAAAAAAGTGATTAAATATGTAATTTTTGAATATAATTCAACTTGAAAAAATGTTTAGTTAAATATAATTTAATATAAGTTAATATGGAACAAAATCTCATCTAAAAGTCCAACAAAATTCATCACATATTATTCATTAATAAAATATATCTAACAAGATATAATGTCATTAAGTTATCAAATTTCATAACATATGTGTACAACTTAATTTATTGTATCTAACAAAATATAATGTCAAATTTCATAAAAATTACTATCCAATAAATCTATCTTTCTTATAATATTGACATATTTCGTTCACTCTTTTCATCATGTGAAATCAAAATTCTATCATTTTAGCATAATTAAAAACTATACACAAGATTAAACTCCATACCAGTAATTAAAAATATAATTTCATTTAACACAAAATATGAAATACTATTACATATATAATATTAAACTTTATGAAAATTACTTGTCTAATTAAGATCTTTCTTATGATGTCGACATATTTTGTCAACTCTCTTCATCCTATAAAATAAAGACTCATATCATGTAAGCATAATTAAAATTTATACACAAGATATTAAATTCCATACAAATATTAAGTAATATAATTTCATTTAAAATAAAATATGAAGTACTTACAACTGTATTACTTATACTACCAAACATGACACCCCACTTAAGAGGAATGTGTTCTTCCTTCATTTGGATGTCCACAAGCATGACACTTTTTAACATTTTAACATTTTCTTCATAAGTTACTAATTTTTTTCTTAAATAAATAACTTTCTCTTCCAATTAATAGTTTTCACTCAAATCAGAATTTGAGAAATTACATCAAGTACTACTAAATCTTGTGGTAGACTGAAATGCAACACTATGAATGTCTCCTAGTCCTAAGCAACATACATGTCTAGGATAATCCTTTCTCGACATTTTACTTACATAATCATTCGTTAAAATTTTTGTAAACTTTACACTTTTGACTCGTTTCTTGTGTTATTTTTTCCTGTAAATAAAATAAATGATAATATTTATATCATTAATTAATTTTAATAAACTCATAAGAGAATTATAAATAATGATTAAATCAAAATAAAAGAGAAAAGGACCAATGACAAGGCTTGCATGCATGGGACATGAAGTAACATGTTTTGCATCAAAATTTGAAATACAACTCAGTATGTTTCTTCATTAATAGTAATAAACACATTAACTTCCATCAAATACAATTGGTTGATATCCATATTAATATTTGCAAGTTTTTTAGCAATACTCAACCGTGTGTTCGAAAAGTCAATAAAAAACAAAACTTAATAGAGAACAATCACTTAAAATGTAAAAAAAGTATACCTGCTCATAAAAAATGAGGGAGAAACATAAATTTAAAACAAATTTCCCCATAAATATAAATAAAAGGAAAAATAAAGTTCCAAAAACACCTGTAAAAAAACATAAGCCAAGAATGTCATTTTATAGAGCTATTTTTGAAAAAAACATTAGCAGTACTATCCCAACCACTAGAGCCATGATCCTAGTCTTTTTGACAATGACACCGAAGCACTATACTTTAAAGGGGTCATATTTGGTGAGTTTTTATTTCAAAATTTGAACAAATTATTTAATTGACTTTTATTACTATATTACTTTAGTAGTCATATAGAAGGAATGACAAGTTAAGATAGTCATTCTTGAAAGCAATGAGGGGGAGATTGATGGAAATGTCCCTACATTCCCAAGAGATGATTTTGATGATGATTCAAGTCAACACCATTCAAGATGAATTAAGGACAACCTGAATTTATGACGTTGGTAACAATGTGAAACATTTTCCTACATGTCCAAGATATGTTTTTGATAAAGATGATGATTCAAGCATGCCCAAAATGATTCCTGAAGACTAGATAGAGTCTTAGAATACTGGATATGGAGGTACAAGTTGATGAAATAATATTATTATGCATAAGCCTCCAAAGCACAAGTGTGATAAAATTCATAACATGATATTTTTCACTGTCATAATCAATTATGATGCATCAGAAATGGAAAAATAATTTTTTCTGTCATAATTGATTATACTGGTAACATAATCAATTATGGCAATTCAAATTTGAAAATATATCTGTTTTGAAGAATAAATATTTTTGAATATATCCTGATTTTTATTCACAATAATATTAATGTTCAACGACCATTTTCTGATGCTATTTTTCTATTTAATTAAGTTTTGATGAAAAATAAAAAATACACAATTACAGAATTCGAAAATACAATTTACATTCAATTAGTTTTGAGAAAAGAATTATGAGCAAGACAACAGAGATATTTTACACCTTCTGAGAAAACCCTCTTCTCTACTGTCTTCTGTACTTTCATTGTTAATCACACTTGTTCTTGAAGATTGACATTCTACAGGCTTCTACAATTTGTTGTCTCCATTACCCAGGTGTGACTGTTCTTATTTTTATTACCTTCATCCTTTGTGTATTGGTGGCAAAGGAGGTGTTTTTCATCCCTAGTGTGATTCTAGGGAGATGTTCATCCTTAGTGAGATTCTAAGGAGGTGTTTTCATCCTTTGATTTGTTCAAAGGAGGTTTTCATCCCTAGTGTGATTCTAGGGAGGTGTTCATCCTTAGTGGGATTCTAAGGAGGTGTTTTTCATCCTTTGATTTGTTCAGAGGAGGTGTTCATCCCTAGTGGGATTCTAGGGAGGTGTTCATCCTTAGTGGGTTTCTAAGGAGGTGATTGTCTTTTTAATTAGTTTACTTTTTATTGGTTCTTTTGCTGAGTTGATTGTAATTTGTAAACTGAATTTGAAAGATACTGAATTGGGAGTCACTTTTGTGTTAAGAGTTGACTGAGAACTGGATGTAGGGTTGACTATACCCGAACCAATATAAATCTTTGTGTGTTCTTCTCTTTCCCTTATCTCTTTCTCTTTTCCTGATTATATTATTGCTTCCGCTTTATCTGTGTTCAAACAAATTATTGACTCACAAATAAATTTTTAATTTGATATCTATTTTAATTTGTGCATCTATTCACCTCCCTCTAGATGCCATTTGTCTAACAAGTGGTATCAGAGCTTGGTTAGTTAAGATATTTCTAAACGATCTGTTAAGATGTCTATGCAGAATCAGGTTTACAAGGAAGGAGCCTCAATTAACAGACAACCATTATTTGAAGGAGAAGTCTATCAGTTTTGGAAAGCGAGAATGAAAATATTTTTACAAACACTAGATTACGGTGTTTGGGATGTTGTACTCAACGGTCCCTACATTCCGATGAGAACAACGGAGTCTGGAGTTGTTCCAAAGAATTTTGACCAATGGACGCCGAATGAAAATAAGTGTTCCCATTATAATGTAAGAGCCCGAAATACTATTGTTTCTGCCTTAACTCGTAATGAATTTTTCGGGGTCTCATAATGCAAGACAACAAAAGAAATATGGGACAATCTTGAAGTAACACATGAAGGAACAAATGAAGTAAAGCGAGCACCTAAGAACACACTCATCCAAGAGTATGAATTATTTCAAATGCAGCAAAATGAAAGCATCACGGATTTCCAGACACGCTTCACACATATAATAAATTACTTGAAAGCATTAGGAAAGAGTTTTGACAATGAGGAGTTGAACACAAAGATCTTGAAATCCTTAGACAGGAACTGGCAACCAAAGGTCACTGCTATTACAGAATCAAAGGATCTTACAAAAATGAATATTGCTACTCTATTTGGAAAGTTGCGAGAACATGAGATGGAGCTACAAAGGTTAAAGAACGGTGAACAGAATCAAACCAAGACGATAACTCTAAAAGCAGAAAAATCTTCACAAGACGAAAGCGAAAATGAAGGTAAGTTTTCGGACTCCGATATGTCTCTTTTTGTTAAACAATTTTCTCGCTTTATGAAGAACAGGAAAAAGAGACAACAAAGAAAAGAGAAAACAAATAAATTCCATTGCTATGAATGAAGAAAACCTGGTTATATCAAACCAGACTGTCCGGAACTTAAGAAAGAGAAGAAAGATGTGAAAGAGAAGAAGAAAGAGAAGAACGATACCTATAAGA